AAATATCCTCTGAAGAAACTTGCCAAGAAAACTCCATGATAGTTTTGCTTTAGGGTTGCCATAAGTCAGGAATGACCTGAAGGCAAACAACTACAACAAAAAGAGAATGTGGATGTGGCATAAAACAGGTACCAGATCCTGTCTAATCTTGGAAGCTAAGCAGGGTCAGCCCTGGTTAGTCCTTGGATGGGAGACCGCCAATGAATCCTAGGCTAGTTTTCAGGGGAAGGAACTGGCAAAACCACCTCTGAGTGAGATTCCTTGCCCAATTTGAAGGCAGATAAATGCACACAGAGAGAATGTGGATCAGTTTTCCTTCCTTCTCTTAATGGCAAAAGAACCCCAAAGGGCTCCCAATTCCTGAAGAGTGGGAAATGCAGGAAAACGCTTTTGCAGCCTGGTTTATTGTTAACCTGTGGAATTCCCTGCCTCAAGATCTGGCCATGGCTGCTCCCTTAGAGAGCTCTTGCAGGGGACTGAAAACTGAAAAGTGTCCCCAAAACAGGCTGGGCTCCTGCCAAAAAATGGATCCCTCTGGCCTTTCCTAGTCATGTTCTATGTCTCAGGACTGGCCCTCCAGATCTTTGGGACTGCAACTCCCATCAGCCCTGTTGTTGTTGTTGCTGTGTGCCTTCAAGTCATCTCAGGTTCTATCATGGGGTTATTTTTCCAAAATTTGTTCAGAGGAGGTTTGCCATTGCCTTCTCCTGAGGCTGAGAGAGTGTGACTTGCCCAAGGTCACCAAGTGGGTTTCCATGGCCAAGCTGAGAATCGAACCCTAGTCTCCAGAGTTGTAGTCCAACCTTCAAACCACTATACCACACTGGCTCTAATATTGGGTTTTCTTGGCAAGATTTGTACAGAGGAGGTTTGCCATTGCTTTCCTCTGAGGCTGAGAGAGTGTGACTTGCCCAAGGTCACCCTGGAGGTTCCATGGCCGAGCTGGGAATCGAACCTTGATCTCCAGAGTTGTAGTCCAACCTTCAAACCACTATTCCACACTGGCTCTAGTATGGGGTTTTCTTGGCAAGATTTAATAATAATGATAATGATGATAATGATGATAATGATGATAATAATAATAATAATAATAATAATAATTTATTCAAAGGAGCATTGCTTTTGCATCCCTCTAAGACTGCAGGCAGCCCATCCAAGGACACCCAATATGTTTCCATGGCTGAATGGGGATTTGAACCCGAGTCTCTCAGAGTCCTAAGCCGACACTCAAACTCAAGCATGACACCGCACTGTTGTTGTTGTGTTCCTTCAAGTCGTTTCCAACTTATGGCAACCCTAAGGTGAAGCTATCGGAGGGTTTTCTTGGCAAGATTTGTTCAGAGGAGGTTTGACGTTGCCAACCTTTGAGGCTGAGAGAGTGTGACTTGCCCAGGGTCACCCAGTGGGTTTCCGTGTCTGAGCCAGGATTCGATCCCTGGTCTCCAGAGTCATAATCCAACACTCAAACCACGATGCCATGCTGGGATCGCTCTGGGTCAATTGCTCCAGGCCCAAGCGGTCACTTGGGGGGTGAAGGCCACAGTGATGGCTCAAGAAATCTCTCCTCTCTGGACGGGGCAAAAGGTTCTCTGGGCTCCCCCAGCAGACCATTCGGTCCCCCGTGCGAATCCAAACTGACCCTCCGGAAAGAGGAGGAACGACCAACAGTGGGGGACGGAGGGCTCTCTAGGGACATCAGGGGAGGGCGGCCAAAATGGCTGGAGTGACCCTGGGACCTGGGGACATGAGAGCCCTGTTTAAGGATTTGAAGGAGGTCCTCATATTGAGGAGGGAGCAAGCTTGTCTCCTGCTGCTTCAGAGAACAGGACACAATGGAGCCTCAATGGATGCAAACCACAGAAAAAGAGATTCCACCTCAACATTAGGAAGAACTTCCTGACAGTAATAGATGTTCAATATTGGAAGACACTGCCTCCGAGTGTGGCACAGTCTTCTTCTTTGGAGGTTTTTAAGCAGAGGCTGGATGGCCATCTGTCCCAGGGAGGGCTTGGATGGTGTCTTCCTGCATGGCAGAAGGGAGTTGGACTGCATGCCCTTTGGAGTCTCTTCCAACTCTAGGAGTCCATGATTCTAAGAGTGTGATGCAGCAGCTAAAAAGGCCAATGCGATTCTAGGCTGCATCAATAGAAGCATAGTATCTAGATCAAGGAGAGTAATAGTGCCACTGTATTCTGTGTTGGTTAGGCCCCACCTGGAATAGTCCTGTGTCCAGTTCTGGGCCCCACAATTCAAAAAAGATGTGGAGAAACTGGAGCATGTCCAGAGGAGGGTGACTAAAATGGTGAAGGGTCTGGAAACCATGAATCCCTATGAGGAAGGACTTAGGGAGCTGGGGATGTTTAGCCTGGAGAAGAGGGGGTATGATAGCCCCATTTTAAGTATCTGAAGGGGTGTCATATTGAGGAGGGAGCAAACTTGTTTTCTGATGCTCCAGAGAACAGGACCTGGAACAATGGATGCAAGTTTAGGAAAAGAGATTCCACCTAAAACATTTTGAGGAACTTCCTGACAGTAAGAGCTGTTCAACAGTGGACGATGCTGCCTTGGAGTGTGGCACAGCTGTCTTCTTTGGAGGTTTTTAAGCAGAGGCTGGATGCTTTGATGCTTTGATTGGGAGTTCCTGCATGGCAGAACGGGGTTGGACTGGGTGGCCCTTGGGGTCTCTTCCAACTCTAGGATTCT